TGCACTTCTGCGGCACATTTGTCGTGCGCTCGCGTACTAAGGAAACTCCACAAATAAATAAAAATTCGAAACTGGTTCATCTAATGAAAAGAATATATCAGAACAGTTTGCAAAAGAAAGCCCTAGAAGTGGTCCACTTCAGTCGATCATTCTATGCCTTTTCAAGTGACCTGCTTCAATTTCATCGAATTCCGAGATTTACCATGAGCAAAATTCGGCCAATGACCATCCACGTATCCGATCCTACATTTTGGTGTATAGCGATAGTCATCCCTGTTGTGCCAGACTCTCACTCCTTCACACACTTCTGATCCCGCCATTAAACCAAAGACTGTGTTGCAGAGTGGTGGGTGGGGGAGAGAGGACTAGTAAAAAAACAGTACGACTGTTGAACGGCAAAGCTGACCAAATATGTGAACAAACTTGGAAGAGCTTTCACATCTCACTAAGATAATACCAATTCTCAAATTCTTAGAAAACTTCTCATCCTGCGCCATCCAGAAATACAACACATGTGCGACCTTCTACTCAAAATTGCACAATGCGATCCCTTCGTCCAACGTCGTCACAAAATACGCAAGCATCACGTGATGGATTCGGAGAGGAATTCAGGAACGGAAAAGCGATGTCCTGGGAATCTCATTCCATTGTTGCACAGTTGTATTGCCGTGGCCAGAACAGTATCCACTTCGTGGTGCCCACCGTCTCAGCTGACTGAATACTGCGTAAACTGCGAAGTACCAAGTACGTGTGTGTCCGAAAGTCCGAAAGTGAATTCCCCTAGTCGAGGGCACTGCGGAGTTTCCCAAGCATGCGAGCGCACGACAAATGTGCCGCAGACGTGCACCGCGTGAATGCCGGTGCGACTGCGTTCCTTCTCAGCATCCGGCACCATGCCAAGCTATCAACTGAGTGAACTGCAGTAAAGACGTATTGTTTCGACACATACTTGCAATAAACTGCAAGTGCCAAGCACGTGTTGAGGCCGATTGGGGATGAGTCTCCCTAGCCGAGTGTGGGGATCCATCTCGCACACGACTTCGGGGATATGTATCGGCCAGCGTCGGGACTTGTTGCACAGGGCCTCAGGAGATACATCCCCGATGAGCCTGTTGCAGCCTGCGGCCTGCCCCGATAAGCTTGTTGCATACGGCCCCTGATAGCAAAGGAGTTTCGATTTGGACAATGTCTCATCCGCATGGCCTGGTCGAAATTTGATTTCCAGACGACGTACGAAACGAAGCAGTTATGACATCGAGTTTTTCTGAATTGGTGGTGCCTGAATACTAAGCTTGTGCATAGTGATGACTTCTCTGTACTATTGTATCCCTTCCCCTCTAGTCTCTCAAAAATTGCGCAGGAAATTATATGTCTTCTAAGATCACTCCATAGAACCATACCTTGCTCCAAAGGAAATTTTTTGCAAAGGTGATTCTGCAGATTGAGGGATTTGCTCTTAAAAAAGTCACTGAATTTGTTCTCTCGAGTGGCCGTTTCAGAGCATAGCTCTCGCGAAAAATTGGTCATGGGACGCTGAAGAGTTTCTTTTTTTCCGCACTCTTGCAAGCATAACTTCTTTTTCAAGGATTCATTTTGCTAAACTGAAGATGCATTTATAATCTAAAAGCATAAAAGCTTTCAGAATCTACCTAGCATAAATTTCATTCCCTAAAATAAGCTAAACTACTGAGCAGTATTCTTTTATGGGAAAAGATTATTTGTAAGGAGGGCAAAAAGTTGTATTTTGTCTTGAGTGGTGCACTCCTTCATGAACAACAAATTCGCTCCTTAACTTCTGGATGCCTCTAAGATTTCGCAAAATTTTGCTTTGTGCTTCACGCACTTCTTTTTAGTTTTCTATTTCTTGCATAAAGTGGAAAAATAAGAGGAAAATGGAAATTATGTTAGATTCAGAAGGCATTCGCTAAACTAAAAAATATCTAACCATTCAGTTATGCTGATTTATGATCTGTTGAATGAGTACAAAGACCTAGGAAGAAGTTGCGCAAGCGCAGAAAAAGGGATGACTTGGGTGGGACGCGTTACCGCGTCACAATGTCCCACGAGGTGCGCAAAGTGGGACGCGTTACCGCGTCGCGCTGTCGTCAACGTGTTAAGTAATTATGGGGACCAGTGACGAATAACGGTCGAGGAAATCCTCATTCTGGCTCTATACTGTGTTATAATAGTGTCGAGAGTGAATGCACGCGCGTAGGGCACAGACGTTCGCGCGTGGAGAGAGGGAATGTCCGCGCCGGAAGGCCTGACAGCACAAGCGAAAATGCTCGACTAGTCGTAGACACATCTTCGAACGATTTTCACTCTGATGGGGATACTCGATACAATGTTAATCACTGGACGCCTAGAATACTAGCCTAGAATATCATAGCCCAAATAAGTAGTATGCTCCAATATATTGGTCGAGGTTGAGAATGCATTAGGTTCGGAGCAACAGCCCTGATCTGCTGCGCCGCGCGCTGGTGTAGGAGCTGATTTGCTGAGAGAACACCATCGAAGAAGAGAGTGACGTGCTCTGTTCCTGTTCGTGGCTCCATGTGAACACGTTTCCCTGTGCGTTCTTACGAGCGCACGAGAATAAATAAACAAATAAATAAATTAACGGCTCTTGAAATGAGCATTTTTCGTTCAAATTTGGAGTTTTCTATGAGTTCAGGTAGAGATGAAATCTGCTGTGGACATTGACAGCTATGAAATTCACCTTACAGACTGCGAATTATTTTAGTTACAAAGTGAAAAAGTGAACTTCAATAAGATGTGCCTTTTCGCATGAACTTTCAGCCTTGGAACGATCGCAGCCTTTTCCAAAGTACTTCATAGAGAACATGAAGGTAACATGATGAACTATGAAATTAAAAAGTGCCCCGGGAATTCAACGGTAGACTAAGTATGTCCGATAACGAAAATAGGAGCGTGAAGTGGACCGTCGCTTGAGAGAAAATGATGAGAATCCACTAATCACACAAAAATATGCAAAAAGCTGAGCAGGAGATGCGGGATCGAATCCCGCCCGAGGCCATGGTTTTGCTCCAATGTCACCATACTTGCGAAAAGAGAAATACAGAGACCGTTGCTCCAGCGTGGAGAAGAGAGTAAGACAGTAGGATGAGAGATAGGAGTATGATGAAAGGAAAAGAAATGCTCCGAGACAAGAGTGCGTGAAACGATGTACATGATGCGATACTACCGTGGTGGGTGGACAACTCAGCACTGGGTGCCTTATTGTTAGAACATCTACGTGCATCTTCTGCCACAACAACGCCTCGTATTTCATCGTTTTTAGCCCCTGTTCCTTTCCAGCCCATTCGGAATAATTCGCTCATCCCATACAAACTTGAGAGTCAGAAAATAGAACTGATTGCCATTCTTGCAGTGTGGGAGACGATCTTCTTGCAAAAGTAGCTCTCAACCTTCAAACCAACAACGATTTCACTTAAACCCATTATTTCGGAGGTCGCATACAATAAACTGCAACGTTTGAAGGTATAGAAATTGCTCGAACTCTTTAATTTAGCAGTCGAGAAATCGTCCTCTGCACTTTTTTCTTAAAATGTCGAAGCCATCTTCAAAGGGTGCGGGCTTAAACTTCTGATGGTCTCAATTTTTTCAAAGCGTGCCTAAGGAAACCACGAAATAAGGGCCTTCAGCATGGAAGAGTCGACATCCCAAAGAAAAATGAATTTCCACAGAAGAACCATTGCACTTTTCTGCATTACAGTACTCCACTCACATCGAAGTTCCCTTAAAATGATACTCTCGGTCTGAGGCGCTGATAAATCAACTGTGAAACATTTCCTACTGGAAGTGCCTGCCACGGCACACACAACGCTGCGCAGGGCCATACCAAAGTAGCTCTCATAAGGAGAGCCGCAAAATTGTTTCGACATATGAAGGGATAGAGTGCCAACAGTAGCTTTGAGCTCCCACCGGGGTCAACCGTTACGTTGGACCGATATTGGAGCGACGTTGGACCGATGTTCACCGCTCTCCGCCACCCGCGAGCCGTCTGTGTCTCCGTGCGTACGTTCACTCTCGGCATTACTCTCGTCGTCGCGTTGGACTTTGTCCAACGGACGGTTGACCCTGGTCCAGAGTCAACCCTGCGTTGCGCAGTTCGCAACGGCACGTTGAGAGATCCTCAACGCACGCTGTATGGGCGGAGACACAGACGGCTCGAGCATGCGAGTGTGAATGTTCGCGCGAGAGAACGTGTCTAATCGGGCGAAACTGCGCAACGTGGCCGTTGAGAACTGCGCAACGCAGGGTTGACTCTGCCTGCTCCCACCAGTGTTGAAACTGGATTCGGGCTGTTTTGGAACTTTAACTGCCCCTCACCAATGGCTAA